AATTTTTTTTTTTTTAATTTTTAAGCTGTCTAAAGTGTTGACAGCCTAACATGCAGCACTTTTCTGATCTATACACATACTCAGCAGGTCTTTTATGAAAATATTATGGTAACACTAGGGCACAGAAGAAAGTCAGCAGGTAAACGGGGTCTACAAAACTTCATGTCTTCTGCTTTTCTTGGCAGTCTATGAGAGGAGTACGAGTAAGACCAAACCCTCTAGTTCACTTTGCTTGTCTGTTCTTGCAGGATTTTAGATCAGTTCTCTTCCTACAAGAGTTTGTCAGGGTTTCACTTCTGCAGCTACATTTTTCAAAGTTTCAAGTGGCCAATACAAACCAGAGCCTTTGATCTCTTTGACATAGTTGCTAGGAAACCAGCCGGTTTTGCCGTTGAGAGACCCCTCCCACCAGCCGCCCACTTCCTGCCGTGTCACCTGGATGATGTCACCCTTATCGAAGGACAGCTCATCCTCATTGGTCTGCTGGAAGTTAAAGCGTGCTTTCACCAGCACCTGAGGGGCACTGTTTTCAGACATGTCCTACAGAGAACGACAGAAAAAATACAGAGAGAATTTGTTCCAGCTTCTCTTTCATAGTTGCCTGAGGACTCAAATTACAGGTGTGCCAAGTAGTTTGTGAACTCAAAAAGGTTTTACACACAAAGAACTGAATAGTACCTTTGACAATTATTCTTAAAATCACTTCAGTCTCTTTTCCAGTGGTTTAAAAGAAGCCTTTTTTATTCTACATCAGGGTGTGAAGTGATTGTGATGCTCACCAGACTGCGGTACTGGTTGTACTTGAGTCTGGATGATCTCCTGTGAGTGGACAAACAGTTGGTCGAGTCAAAGGACTTGATCCGCAGAGAAGACGAGTGACGAGAACACACAGAATTACTCTCACCACCGGACTCTACAACCAAAAAACACTCATCAACAAAACAGACCAAGCACACACACGTTTACGGAGCAATCTAAATTGGGACATTCCATTCTATTGGCTTCATATACAGCTAGACATAGATAATATAACCTAACCCTAATCTTAAAGGGATAGGTCATTCAAAAATGAAAAACTAGATAAACACAAAAGATGATATTTTGAAGAATGTTGGGAAACAAACGGTTGCTGGTAGCCATTGACTTATGTAGTATAAAAATACTTGGAAGTCAATGGCTACCAGCAACATTTACATTTATTCATTTAGCAGACGCTTTTATCCAAAGCGACTTACAATTGAGGAATACTGTTCAGTTATCAACATTCTTTTGTGGTCAACAGAAGAAAGACACTCATACAGGTTTGGAACAAGTGGAGGGTGAGTAAATGATAACAAGATTTTTATTTTTGGGAGAACTATCACTTCAAAAAACGTTCTGCATTTTTACAAAAACATGCACTTATTTTATATATTAATGCTGTTTTTACAAATGATGACATCCCCCAAAAAAAGGCTTTGGGTAATTGACCCTTCGTAAAGAGCTTAAACGACAGGCGATCTGACCAACCATAACGCTGAATCTGCCATCTTGTCCAACAAACAAATCAGACAGGAGGGTAGATTAACTTCTGTGGACTTAAACTTGAAAAATGGTGTGTATTGACGTCTTTCCGCAGTTGAAAAAAAAAAACCTTCTGATGTTCATTCATGTTAATTTCGTGCTTTAAGCAAATATGAAAAGACGATCGGTTCATGTGTGCCGCTTGAAATGAGGCACTACAGTGATCTGTCACAACACATTAAAGAGCCACAAAATGGTATTTATTGCTTGAATTTCTTAAAAAAAGGACAAAATTTGAAAGGTATGTTTCATACCAAAAGTAACCTGCTCTGTCTTGTCTGTCGGCATGTTGTCCGTTTCCTCTTTAATCCGCAATGTATTTTTTACTGTGTGAGAACATGGTGTAGAGTGAGAGCGGCATGGCTTGTCGGACATAGCAACAGTAACTAAGGAGGGCGAGGTTTTGCGAAGGGTCAATTATGTCAGGTTTAGCTCACTTCCGAGTAAATACTGTACTCCATGCTGTTAATAAACTAAATGCCTCTATGATTTTATCATAAACAGCACTGATAACACAGGTGTTTCAGATGCATCTCACCTGAAGTTGCTTTGTTGAGTGCAACCAAACAATTCAAGACCTTGGAGAAGTTCTGGCCCTGAAGCAAGTCATTGGCCTCAAATACCTGCAGAGGGACAAAAACAGAGACGTGCATGAGCTCAAATATAAAGTGAGAAAAAAGGATTTGGATCTGCTACTCTCAGATAATCCTATACAAAAAGAAATTACATTTTAGATTAGCATGTTTTGGTTTGATGCACAAAATCATAAATCATAATCCCCCCATGCCTTAAGGATAAATACTGTCCCAAAAGGATAAATACTGTTTTTCAATCTGCAATATAAGGTGGACTTGATTCATAACATACCATTCAAAAGTTTATGGTCAGAAAGGGTTTTTAAATTACACATGAAACTGACTAAAAGTGACAGTAAGGACTTTTAAGAGCCAGATTTACTAGAGATGCACCGATTGATCAGCCAGGGATTGGAATCGGCCGATTTTCCTCATGATCGGCTGGTCAGTCTCACTTCTTTCCGATTTCGAGCCGATCCGTTTTGTTACCAGCGGCACAGGCAATAACGTCAGCCGCGCATTCTCACTCTCTTCTCTCCGACGACCCCTTCTCTCTCACACACATGTCTCATTCGCTCCGGTTAAATAGTGCTTGTATTGCGCATTATTTTAGTAATTCCCGCAGGTTTCGCACTTATATCAAACGCCCGCGCACCACCACTGATCTATATTAGTGGAGCGCACAATCCGCGCTCAGTCTCAAACAGCTTGTGAGCCACAAATACCAAAATGAGTGGCTAACTGCGCTAAAACATTAAAATACATACAAAATTATGTCAAAATGCCCGTCTTGGCGAGTATCCAGTTAAACACAGTCAGTTTTGGAATGTTAAATAGTTGAGAAAGAGAACGCATGTTGTGTAACAGTATATTTGGTCCGTGGATAAACTCTTAAATGGACCGCAGTCCAATATTCCTGCTGCTGTCTGTCATGTTAATCAAAGAACAAAAGACAAAGAAAATAATTTTCTGCTCTTGACTGAATACGTTTTATAACTTTAATTTAGGCATTAATCTGTATTTAATTTTTACAATGAAGAACTTGTGTTTTTTTATTAAAATAAAACTTTGCGTTGAAGAAAAGTACATTTTTGTTTGTATATGCTGACAATTATAGTTCTTAGAAAGAAAATTGGAATCGGCAAAAATCGGTATCGGCAGATCACACTAACGAAAAATCGGAAATCGGAATCGGCCAAGAAAATTGCAATCGGTGGATCTCTAAGATTTACTAAACAGAGCAAATTAGCGCGAGAGCGTAATTCCAAACAGCGCCGATGGGCGTGGAAATTTCTGTGGGTGATTTACTGACATCACGCAAATTAAAGAACACAGACGCAACATCTCATTTACATATCGACCAAAACAATCTACCAAGAGCAGCGCAAATTAGTCTAGTCGCAAATAAGCAGAGCTGATGCTTATCACGTGCGGCTGATCTACTTACGACACAGGCGTAAAATAGTTTGTTATGCATTTTTTGAGCATTACATAATGGCGCAAATATCAGTACTTTGACGAGCGCAAAAGTTAGTAAATCACATTGAGTGATTCATTTTAATACTCTCCTCCCATAAATTTTGTGTCTGAAAGGGAAGCTCCTACAAATGCATATTCAATAAGGTCAAGCGCAAAAATAACTGTGTCCACGCCTTTTCAGCATTAATGCTTCACTGCACGTTTTAGTAAATCCTGACAGTACTATTTTAACTCCAAAAGATGGTTTGCGCTGGTGCAAGCTGTTAGTGAATCTTGCCCTTATAATGTTACAAAAGATTTCACTTAGTATTTCAAATAACTGCTGTTCTTTTAAACTTTCTATTCAAAGAAATGTAAAAATGTATCATGAGCAACACTACATTATCATGGTTTCAACATTAATAATAATAAGAAAGGTTTCAAATCATCATATTTAAACGTATGCATTGAAATGAAATGCATCAAGGGATCAATATGATGAGTGATGCTGACCCAAGCATTAAGCATGGTGAAAGCTTTAGGTCTATATATCAAACTTGGATGGACAGTTTTAGCAGAGGAAGGATTGTAACTCAAGTCATGTAATGCTAAATATGCAAATCCAGAGGCCATATGCAAACAGCAGAACAGTAACAATCATTCATAAAAAATATGGACATATTCTGCAGAATAAGCAACATTAGAGAAACTCTTGCATATAGGGTTAATTTCATCTCTTTGTGACAGACCAAATTTCTAGTCACAGAAACCTACAGAAATTTATGATGATCACAGATTCTCTATAAAATGAGTCTGCTTCACTGAGGGAATATAAGAAAGTAGTTTTGCTAAGCTTGGGCAATGCTGTGTTTGTGTGTGTGAGCTTCTGGCTCTCAGACTACCTGCTGCTCTCTGGGCCATCTGGACACATAAGCTCATACCAAGCAAACCCAAACTGGCCTGATCGGACACCAGCTTGATTTGAACTCTTCAAACGATACAGGCAATGAGATGGAGAAGTAAAGTGGTCCTGGATTTGTGTCTATACACCAAATGTCTCCTGGTGGATCAGCTCATTTGCATTCTACTATGATGATTATAATTTAGGAAACCATATGTGACTCTGGACCACAATTTATACATCATCTGAAAGTTGAATAAATAAGCTTTCCACTGATGTATGGTTTGTTAGGACCATATTTGGCCGAGATACAACTATTTGAAAATCTGGAATCTAAATATTGAGAAAATCGCCTTTAAAGTTGTCCAAATTAAGTTCTTAGCAATGCATATTACTAATCAAAAATTAAGCTTTGATATATTTACAGTAGGACATTTACTAAATATCTTCATAGAACATGATCTTTACTTAATATCCCCATAATTTTTGGCATAAAAGAAAAATCAATAATTTTGACCCATACAATGTATTTTTGGCTATTGCTACAAATATACCCCAGCGACTTAAGACTGGTTTTGTGGTCCAGGGTCACATATCTTTTGGGGAAATCAACATATAAATGGTTTACTTCTTGTTTTCTCTGTACAGTTAGGAAGCAGGCTATTTTAACATTTAAAAAATGTGTCATTTTTGGAATGGTGTTTGCCATTTCCCATTTTACTGCCAAAACACGAAGTATTTTCAAGTGATACACTTGATTTTTATCATGTATTAGGAAAGTAAACTGGGTTAATTTGAATGTCATGTTGTCTTAGAAGTAACCTGTAACTTTGATCCCAACTATTTTTTCTCGTGCATACATGCAATTATAGAGAAATTTTGTTTAATTTTATAAATAAATACACTCAGGGGTAGATTTAGTGAATTGGGGGCCCCAGGCAAAATATAGGAATGGGGCCCTATACATTTGCACACATTTTCCTAGATCAACCTTGAGGTTCCATTTTGTTGTTTTCAGCGTAAGCCTGTGTGCAAAGGCTGTCTAATTCTAAACTTTAAAATACATTTATTTTGAGTTGGTTTAAATACAAATTTAAATAAAACTGAAAAAAGAATGAAAAGGCAATTATACATTTACACACCTATAATACATGTCAAGAGCATGCTCACAGATGAGAACAAAACAGCGTTGGATGAAGTGGATTAGAGCCCTGCACGGGTCTCAAATATAGGCCCTAGCCCGTCTTTTCCTAAAGCCCTGCACGGGTCTCAAATATAGGCCCTAGCCCGACTTTTCCCCAAAAAAGCTTATACTACTGTTTCAGCTATTAAAATAGTTCAATTTTGTATGTAACGGAAAAGTGATTATATTTCGTTTAGTTTTTTTATAAAGTAAATTTAGAAAAACATTTAGAGTATTTTTTGTTTGTTAAAAGTGATTTTTTTTTGTTTTTTTAAGTAAAGGCCAGCGGCAGACAGTGAATTAGCCTATAGCCTATGTTTGATCAATTTAGCCATCTCAAATCATCAGGACTTGCCTAAAATAAAATCTATATATAAAACAGTTCAAGTATATCACAATGTTAGTTTAAATGTTTAACCTATATAAATGTGCATATCCAATCATTTGCGGAGGAGTGGAAGCTGAAGCTCTGCAGGACATGGAGGCACCAGTGCCATCACTTGCATTTTTTTCTAACAGTGGAAAACTTAAAATACGCAGTCATTTTTGCTCATAAGAGTAATACATCTTTCTAAACTGTAAAGGGTCTAGTTTTATTTGAGTCCACTCACAATATCAACAAAACGTTGTGATTTTATAAAATAAAGAAAACAAACGCTTTCTGCCGTCTCAGGCTTGAACAGGAGCGCTTCACAATGATGAACTTTAATGATGCTTTATATTTCTACTTTAAAACGAAATAATTCAAATCGAAAATAGACTCCTAATAAAATAAACTCTTTCATTATGTAATCCGTGCATTTCTCTCTAAAGGCACATTCAATTAGGAGATGGCGAGTCATTTTTTCATCACTATAATTGATGGAAGGCCCGATTATAATTTGCGTTTTATTTTATAATTCCGTACAGTTAAAAAAATAAAACACTAATTATAATGGCATATATGTAAAACTTTGTCCTATAATTGTATAGCTGCTTTTTCAGATTTTTATGTTGCTCTGTTCTGAATACCTTAAAATGTAAAGGATTTGCTGCAACGCAATTTTGTATGATATGTTAATTATTTATATTTTTTATCCATGCAGCAAATGTTTTAAAAAACAGCTTTAAAATTACTCTGTTGCATTCCAGACGCTTTTAAAGTACTTTTCACTATACATTTTACGGGTAGCTTTAATGTAAACATTGTCATGAATTCGTTGCATTCCCATTTGTACAATAGCCAACAAATTCATTGTTGTAGGCTAACCCGATCTCATGAAAGTGCGTATAGCACGATTTTCTGCTTCTATTTGGCATAATATTTCTATGCAGAAATTGACTTTGGCATGCAAAAGACTGATAAATTCATAATTAACGGCATGGGTTCAGTCGACAGAAATATGGGACACACAGGCCTATAATAACTGCTGAATGTTTGCGGGGGAAATCTCAGATCAGTCTGAGCGCTCATGGTACTCACAGTGCGTACAGCCGTACACCTGCAGGCGCCACTGACTCGGACGGTTGTTGTAGAAATAAACACCGTAAACAGCAACCATCCGCGTGTCCACGCTTAATGCGAATATCCTATATATCCTATATTTAGGGGGCCCTTGGCTTTTGGGGGCCCAAGGCGGTCGCCTACCTTTGCCTAATGGGTAAGTCCGCCCCTGAATACACTTACATTACTGTTCAAAATTTTAAGGAAGATATTTCATTTTAAAAATAAATACATTTTAATTTAGCAAGGACTTTCAAAGATTTCTATTTCAGATAAATGCAGTTCTTTTTGAACGTTCGATTCACCTAAATAAATAAATGATCCTGAAAAATGTATCAGGGTTTCCACAAAAATATTTTTATATTTTTACATTATAAGAAAAGCTTCTTGAGCACAAAATCAGCATATTAGAATGATTTCTGAAGAATCATGTGCCATTGAAGACTAGAATTTGACATTTTTGCCCAATGGCAATGTAGCAATCTAAACAAAGTCAACAATGATTTTGAACTGATCAGGAACTCATGAAAGCAACTTTCTCCTATCAGTGAATTAAGAGAACGGTGTTTATTTGCTCCAATGTACCTCTCAAAAAAGAGACACAAAGACATTTCATTAATATTCAGTACTTGATACAGTCCTAAAGTCCAGTCCCCAACACTCAAGCACCATCAACAATCATCACACACATCTAGGGATGCACGATATATCAGCCACCATATCGGTATCGGCCGATAAATGCTAATTTTTTCTGTTATCGGTATCGGCCTGATAAGAAAATTTGGCCGATATCTTAAAGCCGATAAATAATGCATTATTTCCTTCAGAGACACTTCAGATGCGCACTGTTCGTTTGCAGCCTTTTGTGCAATTGTACGTTGTAATATTGTGTTTATTTGATGTATATCTGATTTATCTCATATAGAATGCGTTTGGTTAAGTTAAAAAGAGCGCTTCAGTTTACCGGTGATAAACTCAAACAGCAGTGCACAACATTAATAACTATGATTGGGAATGTCGTGTATATAAAATTCTAATGAGAACATTATTATAATAAAACGTTGTGAATTCTATGGGTTTAGTTGCCGTGTTTCAGCGCGTTGATATGGGAAGAGCGCATCCACAACAGGATCACACATTCTGACTATAGCACGCAATAACTGCATCATTTTGTACATATATAAGTTGTAATATTATGTTTATGTTGTATTAATATTAATCTCAGGATGCATTTCCTTGAGTTAAATAAGCTGCCAGCAAAACGCTTCAGTTTACCATGTTCATTCAGCTCTTCAGCTTCAGCACGCGCAGCTCAACGGCTGCTATTTAAAACAGTGGTATTAATTTGTTACTTTTTCAAAATCATCGATACATTATTAATAACAACAACCACTTGTATTTTTCTCTTATTATTTTCATCAACAATATGGTTTAGTAATTAAAATCATTTAATTATTGTCCGTGCAGAGGCTATTCCGTTTTATTGATCTATGGCGCATTCATTTTGATTCTTTACACGTGTAATGATGTCCAGTGACTTGTTTGCATTATTTATGCATTATTTTATTTATTTGTAAGACTTTTTTATGACTAAATTTGGTAATGGGAGAGTAAAAATATTTTTAAAACGTACACCGTTCAAACTAGGCTGCTTATGTTGAAGTGTTTGGGATTTTGTAATCAGGCTCTCAAAAAGTATATAACAATTTGGATATAGATTTATCGGCCAACATATCGGTTATCGGCTTTCAAAAATAAAGAATAATCGGTTATCGGTATCGGCCAAAATTTTCATATCGGTGCATCCCTACACACATCTAAGTCTACATTACATCATCTGCCATCACTGCAGTGGAATTAAATTCCCTCCTGCTCTCTCTCTTTAAACCAGTCATCCAAACATGCCATTTGAAAAAGCAGTTTTAGTGTGGAGTGCCTCTCTTCATTCTGGCCTGTGCCAAACCCCACAGCACCATTAATGAGCTGGCAGCTCTACCCATTCAAACACACAACTCCATTCACCACAATAGAGGGCTTGTCTGAACCTCTCACAGCTGGCCAGAAGAACCGAAGACACTGGCACTCCTGAAACTCACAAACACACAGAACCGTAACCGTCCTACACAACAGAACTCATATAGAGCAACAAATGCCTCACAGAGCAACATACGCACACAGCACCCCTGTGAGCAGAAAGATCTCAGTTACACCATCACGCTGGCAAACGTTAACAAGCACAGAAGTGTTTGTGAAGAAAAATCACTCTCAGATTTCCCAAAAACCGTTAAGAGGGACAAAAAAATGTGACATTCAAAAATTTAAAACAGCTTTCACTGACATAACAGCAGTTGTTGAGAAAAGCGTCACTTTCAAAATAACATGCTGCCATCACATAAGATCTGAATGCAATTCACTACACAGCCAGCGCTAGACTTTAGAGCAGGGGTGCCCAAACTCGGTCCTGAAGGGCCGGTGTCCTGTAGAGTTTAGCTCCAACCCCAATTAAACACACCTGAACCAGCTAATCAAGCACTTATAGGCATACTAGAAACTTACCAGCAGGTGTGTTGAGGTAAGTTGGAGCTAAACTCTGCAGGACCGAGTTTGGGCACCCCTGCTTTAGAGATTGCAGTAAATCAAAGGTCATGTGACAGTTCATTGCACTGTAATATGAATAATTTATGGCTGCATACTGTGCAGTCTACTGCATGCTTTTCCCAAGAAACAACATGCAATTGGCTGTACAGACATATCGTAGATATCTGCAGGAAAAACGGGCAGAGCTGGATCTGAACACAAAATCTAGCCATAAAAGTAGGTTTAACAATAGCACTGGCTCTAATGCCAATAAAAACACTGTGTGGGTGAAGGATCTGATTCAATCTCACACCAACACCTATTGGACTTGCGTGGAGACGGAGCTGCCAGAACACCATGTTTACAAACATATGAACGGTTAATAGCATATCAGCAGTGTAAAAAAAAAACTGTTACAATGCACTGCAGTTTTCAGCAAAGAACTTCTCTTGATAAACAAGTCTGGACGACTCTGAATTCATTTTACTTGGCATTGAGAATTGTCAGGTGCAACGCCCATTAACACTTGGCTACACCCTGTAAATTACTGAAGTGAAAGAGTTTATTATGAAACGTTACACTAAATATCGGACATTCACTATTGTAATTCAGCAGTCGCTGTTTACAACAGTTTCACCAAGATCATGGTCATGCCAAGTAAACTATATATTTTATGGCACAGCAGCTCTATTTAGAAGTTTGATATACAAGTAAATCCAACTTTATCCATGTGGCACTTACATTCAGTATTCTCAAGTAAACCACTGTATAGCAAATCCCAACCGCTTGATTGTTTATATTGTTGCAAAATGAAACCTGTTACCAACCAGCTCTAATTTGATAAATGTGATAAGGCATTAAGATATTACAAACATCATGATTTTCTGTGATGCTGCTTTGAAACAATCTTCATTATAGAAATAAAATGTATGACTTACGCGCACATCCTTTTGAGTTTAATGCCCACATTTTGCTTTATTCTGGAAAATACTTTTAGATTCTTTACAGCTATTGGAATACACTGGAATAATATTCTGAATAACCTAAAATATGTAGCCTACATATATATATATATATATATATATATATATATTATTTTCCTGAAATACTTGCTCTTGGCATTTATGTCACATTTGTGTGTAATTTTGGGCAGTCACATTTCAGTTAATTCTCATTCTCATCCTTAGTGATTCATTGCAAAACACAGTCCACAGGGCTCTTATAAATTGATTATCGATGGAGATATCATGCCTTTAAATGCTTTTATAATCAAATCTGTCTTCCACAGCTTGAATTTTCACCGTCTGTAAACATAAAATACAGCAAGCTACCTGGACATCTACCAATGAGACACTGCAGAAAGAACATTAAAGCAATGTTGCATGAATCATTTAAGAAATTGTTATGGTAAAACAAGTCAAAATGCCGCAATAGCACTCAATGCCATTGTTACCAATGTAATAATAACTCTAAAACCAAAACACACTGGATTCGTCTGTTCCCAACTCCAGCTGAGACCTGATTTGCCTTCAAACCACACAAACAAGCCACTGAATCAGTGATCAGAAATATGAACGAGCATGCAAATGACACGAACGACTACAACAGCACTCACCTCTATGTGATACAATGCACAGCCTTTCACAAACTCTCTGATATTACTCAGACACTCGTCTTTCCTCGGGTCCTGGTAGATCTGAAAATAAAGCGAACAGATAAATCCTCTTCCAAGCAGGTTGGTCAAAGAACAAACAAAAAGTTATGCGAATGTGCCATTTGTTTATATCACGGCTCATCGCCCCGTTCCTGCATAAAGCCACTTATTCTTCATAGGGAAGTTGGCGGAGGAATGGCGGAAATGACGTGAGCTAATAGCTTGCGGTTGGGTTCAGAGAGAGGGGCATGCTGGCACAGGCAAACACTACCTGACCTGTCAGAGCAAAGTCTAGCATCTTCACGAAATGCTGTAGCTTTATGCGACGTGTTGTTTATACAGTAGAGCCTGTCAATGCATTTGATTGCAGCATTCCACTATTCACAGTCTGTTTATCAAATCAAACGATTACTGCGATCATATCAGCATCGATGATTTCAGATTATATTGTATTGCCTATAAACTAGAATCACTGATCTGTATATATTAGAATACATTCTACTACGCTGTCTGTCGAGACTGGTTGATAAAATGTTTATGAATTATTTATTAAATATATCCTAATTATCGTTTACATCAAAGCGTATGTGGATAAAATAAATTATAACATAAAAATAATACTAAACTCCATACCGTTACAAATAAACATCCTAGCCTACCCGCAAAGACTAAATAAATAAATAAACGCTTTAATATTGTGTTGAAATGTACTCAAATTCAATTACTCTGATGTTAATAGCAGATTAACATTTTTTAATGAAAATTGTCTAATTGTGAAAAAGTAATGTTTCACTGTTAGTAGAAATATTTCTAGTGATGAGCGGTTCAGTTCATTTCAGCGAATCGGGTTTTTCGAGCAGTTCGTTCCAATGAACCGGTTCAAAAACCAACGGAGCATGACGTCCCATTGAGGAACATTTCGTTTGATTTTTCACTGTAATTCAAAGTGTCCCAATTCAATAAGTGCAGCCACGATTCGGCTCATAAAAACGGAATTTAAGAAGAATTTGTAGTGTATGTTATTTGTTCATGCATCCGTTTTTGGCTCATTAACTCTGCCGCGTCCGAATGACACGGTTCGGTTCAAAGAGTCCGATTCGCGAATGAATCATTCAGACAGGTGCTCAACTGAGTCACTAAAAAGATCCAACTCAAAAACAATTCGTTCACAAACCGGACATCGTCGTCTCCGCTCTCTCCCTCTCTACCAGTCAATGGCGGTCGACTCATAAAGGCAAATTAATTTTCCACGGTTAATTTCCGTTTATATATATTTATTTATGGTCCCCATGATATTCTGATCACTATTTCATTACGATTATTATTAAAATACCACTCTTGCCCCGTCACCGCAGATTATACGAGATTTCCTTTTTACACAATTTCCTTTCACTCATAGTTAAAAGAAATTAAATTAAGAACTCAAAGTTTAAGGAAACAGTATCTTAATACACAAATGTACTGGCTAGCGCTCTCAGCGAACGCAAAACGCGCGCGCGGAGACAAATACAAAGGTCTTGTGTGTCCGATTCACAAAAACACCAGTGCTTTTGTGTCATTTATGTACTCTGTTATGGAACTGCATGAGCTCATTGACCAACAGCTTACCGTGTGAACCGAACCGGGTCGCAGCCGCTCCAGCAATTTACACAAAACCACTCCATCTCTGAGAGATGCCTGTAAAAAGCCTTCTGGGTCCGATAGCGTCTTTTTGGGTGATTCCAGGACGCCCAGCGTTATTAACCATGTGATGGTCTGTTCAGCCGAATTCATGACCTCATATGCGTCTAAAGCTCAATAATCCATAAGCAAACGAATATGCAGGGCTTTGTGAAATGACAGCTATCCTGTGTAGTGCGCAGCGGCAGAGGGATGTTTGGAGCGAGGGCTCTGATCCCTCCTTTTCCCTGGATATTAGGGATGACGATCTGTTTAGGGTTATCTGGCAGGTCCGGTTTCTCTCTCCTCTTCTTTCATCTGGCAGGATGTCAGCAAGTGTTAAACCAAAATCAACAGCCTGCAATTGTTTTCCGCCACATGACACCCAGTTCCCGCAGCTCGGGTCACTGAATACTTTAAAGACTAAAGAAACAAACGCACTGATATTAGGCATTTAGCAGCACTAGAGTGCGTATGAAAGACAATATTAGATAGTATGTCATTAGTGAATATAATATATTTAACATCACGTGTCCACAGGTGGAGAAAAACAAACGATTTGAATAAAATCTTTAGCAAAAGTCAACTTGTATGATCTACAGACTACACGCACCCATGAAAGATACACTTTGTTGCGAGAGTGAGCAATGCGTCTCGAATTGTTCAAAAAAAGGCGCTGATGCCAAATATTATTCCATTGAAATCCATATGTACCCCTGGCGCCCTCTGCCGTTCCTAAAGACCCACAGATGAATTCAAAAGTAAATTAACCCCTTAACTGTCACGCCCCATCCAAACTTAATTTGTTGTAATTTATGAACACTTTGGAATACAGACCTAAGGTGGGTTGGCTCTTTTTAAAGAAGAAAATCAGCAGATTATTGCAAAAGTGGAATTTTTTCAAAAAATTCAAGTATCAAAAAGTTATAGATGTTTAAATTTACTGTAAAGAAAATGCGCTATACTAATTTTATTTTATACATAGTAAATATTTTACATAACAGGTTTTACTCAAAAATTGGTATAAAATTAATTCCTTATGTCTAAATAAGTTATGTTCCAAATTTAAAGTTGATATGAAAAAAATTGAGGTTCCTGTGAGATTTTATTTAGGGCGTTATACCACAAACAGCCACCGGATGCTATCAAAACGCCATCGAATTTTTTTTATGCATTTTTCCGTCACAAATGTCTAGATTTCTCTGTAAATCTTACTTCTATTGCAAAATAGAATCATGAGACTCAGACCTTTCCAATGATATGTATTCTGTCAAGATTATAAAAAGTTTTGATTGTAAAATACCGTAATACATTTTGTAATATGACACTTGGCACCGCCCACTAAGGGGGAGGAGTTTTAAAGTACCATTTCCATGGTAACGCAATGTCCGATTTCAAAATGGTTTTCACAGGATGAATCAAATCAAATGATATATAATTTATGACAATTACTAAAAGATTTGATCGAGAAAAAGGACAACAAAAAAAAAAAAGTACCACCAAACGTCCCACAGGTGGGACGGTGACAGTTAAGGAGTTAAACTCTTTGATAAATAAATACACCTTTTTCCCCTCACGACAACGTTTGGTCACTGACTGGAATTCATTGCGACACTTGGCACCGCCCACTAAGGGGGAGGAGTTTTAAAGTACCATTTCCATGGTAACGCAATGTCCGATTTCAAAATGGTTTTCACAGGATGAATCAAATCAAATGATATATAATTTATGACAATTACTAAAAGATTTGATCGAGAAAAAGGACAAAAAAAAAAAAAAAAGAAGTACCAAACGTCCCACAGGTGGGACGGTGACAGTTAAGGAGTTAAACTCTTTGATAAATAAATACACCTTTTTCCCCTCACGACAACGTTTGGTCACTGACTGGAATTCATTGTATTTCACAAAGAAAGAAAAACATTTTTAGGGACCTTTAGGATTTTCACAAATTTTCATAAAAATCAAGCACATTTTCACTCAAATTCTCATGTAATATAGCAATAAATAAATTAATATACATCCTATGTGCTGTAATGAAGTACTGAAAACCATTCTGTCAATACAACTTTTAATGAATAAAACCAGCATAAATTAAATCGCCTACAACTAAAACTACCATGATGTATATTTAATTTGAGTCATTTAAAAAAAAAAATAATAATTCACATCACAGTAATGAGGATGAGTTTTCCCACATTATAACTGCCTATTGACACTTGAGCAAAAATAATGTCAAATCTTTGTGGTGCTCAAAATTGGTCTTTTCTTTACACAAAATACAATGCCCATTTCTTCTTTTGTAATATTAACCCGTGTATTTATCATCACCAAAACTTAAGAAAGAACAACGTCTATAAATAGGCCATCTCTTTATTGTTGATTTTCACCTGTCAATTTCTTTGAGATTTCATATTCAAAATGAGGACGGGAAGGGCCTTTCATCCAAGTTCACACACTCCGGGTGAAGGTGTCCGTGGGCACAAAGGAAACCCGAGAGAGGGAGACGAGGAGAGAGTCCATTTCTGGCTGGGATGATACTTTTAAAAAGGACTATTTAAAAACTACACTCCAGAAAGGAAAGAAAAAAGCAGGGCAAATGAAAATACTGATAAGGTAAGTGTTTTTTAGATATCTAAAACCCTGACGAAATCTCCAGCAGTCATTCACGAGAGTCACACTAACGTCACTTTATAACTTTTGATGTAAATCTAAGGTCAGACCTCAGAAAAAGAAACTGGATTGATCAAGAGAGAACAGGCACGTTTGGAATAAATGTAAAGGTTGTCTAACATTTTCTAACATTTGTCACTGTTTAAAACAGTGGTAATAGTTTCAGTTTCTCACAGAAAAACTTTTTTCCCACCTTTGGGTGTTTTTTTTTTGTCTCCAACAGTCCCCACCACCCAAAAAGAGTTGGAGAGGAAAAGAGGAGTGTTGTGAGTTTTCGCCCATGCACACGAGAAACTAATCCTCGATACGGGACTGTGCAAGGCTGTGACGAGTACAAATGTCCTTAAATGTATGAGCGACACTGATGACTCCAAAATCACACGTGACCTTTAGGAATGTACAACGTATAGCGTTTGTATGTGCGCACAGGGGGGCATTTGAGATCTACGTCAGTCACAGTCACTGGTGTGTTCAGATGATTTCAAAGGTTTTCTTCAGTTCCATGATTAATTGCCAGTCTGATTTCTGCATCTCGTCTCTGAACCAGTTCTTCAGAGCATCAATCGACTGACGGGTGATCTACATAAGATAAAGGAAGTCATTTAATTCATATTTAAATGGCATTGAAATATATGCTTTAACATTTGTATTAGGTAGGCCTGTCGCAATAATCAATATATCAACTTATCTCGCAATATATTATGTACATTACTGCAATCATTTTTGGTGACGCAATATATCGCCCATTATATTTACTTAAATTAATGTCACCATGTTTTGTACATTCCACTTGCGCCGGTGTGTTTTGCAGCTTCTCGTACATAACGTGGTGTGGTCATGAGGTGCTAGTTCAAATTTTAAAAATGCTTCTACAAACAAAGTTTCATCTGCAGATATGGCCTTGTTTAGGGATCTGTGCCTTTGTGCATACGGACATCTGACTGCTAAGTAGTGATTGTGTTTTTCAGCAATAGTGTGCACCCTTCATTTACAGAGAAAAGAAGGTCAGGGAAAAATCTGTAGATGGAAAAATCTCCATACAAGTTCTTTGTGCATTTTTCTTTTTTTCTACGAAAATGTTTATTTAATATTTATTCAGGGTTTTTAAGGTATCTAATATTTTGATGATCTAAATATTCTTAAAAATGTAACGTTTGTTGTCATTTGGAAGTGTGTAGGCCTTCTTGCATTATTATGTTGTTACATTATGATTATATATTCAGTGGCATAAAATGGTCTTTAAAATTACATTAATATTGCTTATCGTAATAATTTCTGCCGCAAAATATATCACACAACAAAAAGTTGTTATCGTGACAGGCCTAGTATTAGGGGGGGTTTTTTCCCAACAAAAACAAAAAACTAAGCATCCTATGAGCTCCAGTGGCGTTAGTTCGGGATGCAGGGAGAGAGTATACCTTGCTAACAATGATGTCTACAGCTTCAAAGTGTCTGCCGTACATCTTGGGTGCATCTCCAGGAATTGGCTCTATTTTCACACAGATCTCCTGTCCTTTCTTAGCGCTGTCTACAGACTTGTGATTTATTTCGATACCGGTCACAATGCCAATATCTACAAACTAAGAGAAAGAGAGAGAAAAGGTGGACCAAATCAATGCAAACAATTCAAGCTTTTCCCTTGAACTGTTAAAATGTAAAAAATGACAATAGAGGCACAGAGTTGTTCTGCTTCTTTCATTGTTGAGCTGAAAGTGTGCGTTCTCTACATGTCTCACCCCTTTGCTGGGCACACACACAGGAGTGCCCGTCCTTAGTACTCCAGCCTCCACAATGACCCCCATGACGATGGGATCTCTGGAGTTGAAGATGAACTGGGGCAATATACGCAGCTTACAGGGGAACACAGCTATGTGTCTGAAAAAGAGAGAAACGTTCAGATATTCAGACTGCAAACACTCAGGAGAAATTAGCTGTTTTTCAATCAAACCACTGTAACCACAGCCTTACAGAATTTAGTCTTGTTTGGGATGTAAAATTATTCAGGTGAGTGAATGATGAATTGTACACTAGACCACTCAAAAGTTCGGTGTTGGGTTTTCAGATTTTTTTATGTTTTTGAAAGAATTCTCTAATGATCACGAAGGCTGCATTTATTTGATCCAAAATGTAGTAAAACAATATTGGAAAAATATTACAATTTGTTTTCTATTTAAAATGAAATTTATTCCGGTGATGCAAAGCTGAATATACAGCATCATTACTCCAGTCTTCAGTGTCACATGATCCATCAGAAATCATTCTAATTTCCTTATTTTCTGCTCAGGATTATCAAATGTTAAAAACAGTTGCTGCTTAGTATTTTTATAGAAACTGACATTTTTCAGGATTCTGTAGAATCGAAAGTTTAAAAGAACAACACTTGTACAACAGAGAACATTTTACTGTTACTTCTAAATAATTCCCTGCTGAATGAACATTCATTTTTAGCATTAACTAAAAGTTTCAACTTTTGAATGGCAGTGTATGTCTGATGAAAAAAGAAGAGGAGGATGAGGGCAGTAGATAACGCACTTGAACTCATCCTGTTTCTGTTTCTTGTAGTCTTCTCTGTATTTGGTGAAGGCATCAAACAGATGGTAGATGATCTCGGCACTGAAAATACGCACACCGAGGCTGTCGGCCAGCTCCTGAGAATCTCGCTCTATTTTCACATCAAAAGCCAGGATCACTGCATACCTATAGGATAAGAGAGCGAATGATTAGGATAACAATCTGACAAGAGGAGATATATTATGCATCGATCAGCATACATACTGTGGATCATGCTCCAACATAGTGGAAGCTTTCATGACGTCCTTCTTGTGGACAGGACCGATGTTGATGCCAGCATACTGAAAGACAGAGGGAGAATTTAAGTGGGGATACAAACCCCTGAAACACTACAGCGGATTATAAATATATTTGCATTTCATTTAATTCCTCAAAATATAAAAAAAACAAGTAAAATCGAATTAAAAACTGACCAATATTTTACGCAAAATACTAGCATTAAACTTAGGAGAGCTATTTGTGCATCGCACAGAGATGCCGTCAATTTATGGTGTCTCTTTCAGAGAAGCTCGTAAATGTAATTTCTTTCAATAGTAGTTGACCGATATAGATTTTTTTTTAAATGGCTGCGATGCATAACAGTAGTTGAAAATAAATTTGTTTTACATAATGTTTACTAAATTAGAAATAAATTGTTTGAAAATGAATTATTAAAAAATAATTTGAACTGGATTAAAATAAATAAATAAAAGTTAACTTTAGATGGCAACTTCTTTGATCACGCAATCCTATTACAGTACTTTTTGGAAATTTCGGGGGGGAAAAAAACACTATACAAATGATATAAGCACTGTAATAATTTATTAAACAGAACTGTTAATCTAAGACTAATGAGTGAACTAATGAAGATCCATGTGCTCAGACAGTGTTTTCAGTGCTGTCAAAATAAAAGTCCCGCTTCTAACCCTTCAGCCAAACAGAAAGACTCAGTTAGCCAATGCTTATAAACTTAAAAATAGTGGCTGAAATATCTTTTCTTCAATAAAAGATTATAGAATGGGTTTTATGAGAGTATGTGTGAGTCTTTGAAAGCTTACAGGCACTTTGGATGTACGCAAGAACTCCAGCAGAGCTTCCAGAGAGCCGAGTGTAGAGGCCTGCACATACACACCCTTCTCCTCCAGTTTTATGGAATTCAGAGTCTGTTTCAGCTCCCGGATCAACTCGTCCTAGAAACAACCAACATCAGGATGCAGGAAAGGTCACCAATGTAGCAATAAGATTAACTGTTAATTATGACGTTTGACTGATTAATGTAAGAACGAGAAAAGGACGAAAAGACAAAAAAAAAAGCAGAATGTTCTTAGAGAGAGTGACATGACTGATTGGTTTGTAAAGCAGCACACTTACCTTCAGCACTGGAATTTCATCCTCTTTATGAGCGACGAGAAGAGGCAGGCCTGCCAGCGTCTTCTCCAGATCTTTTCCCAGGATCTTGACTCCCTGAGCCGTAGATACTTCTTTATGCTTCTCATACGGATTCTGTTCCCAGAGAGAAGAAAAATATAGGTTAAGAGTTACAAACAAGCTCAGAGGTTTATCCCAACACAGCGGATACAGCAAACTAAACATATAATAGCGCATAAGACCTTCACTCGGAGCTCTTTCAGGGGTGGTGGGAGGAGCAACCCTCTGATCTGAGTGATGATTGGTCCATCGACACCGGGGACGATAATAGTCTCGCCCTCCCGTAGACAACCGTTGATCAGGATGACGTCTATCGTCGTACCCATTCCAGGAAGAGCTTTTACCTAAGATATAGAAGATGGACAGCAGAGGTTATATTACAGTTGGGCTCCATGGGAAGAAAGAAAGCAAACTATTGTGATTAAACATACCAAACCAGACTGTCACGATTTGTTAGCAGGAACTCATTTTACCTCCATGACCTGTGCTCGAAGTTCATCACAATGAGCCAGTCGGCGGGCCAGCATGGTCTGAGTGAGCTCCACCAGCAGTGCGATGAGGTTCCCCATCCCATCACCCGAGTGGGCCGAGGTGGGAACCAGGGACACAAATGTACGAGGGTCTTTGTTCTCGTAGAACAGGGCAGCGTTAAGTCCCTGAAGGTTGAACAAGACAGCACTTTTATATAAAACTCAACAGGAGACATTTGCATCTCAAGTAAATGGGACTGTACAAAACGATGACAACAGACCTGCTGCGCAAACTCCACGATGACAGCTTTAGCCCTCTCATCAAACTCATCCTTGGTGTTTTTCTTCTGCTTCTTTAGTGTGGCCACCACGTCTGTGTCTGGACTCTTCTTCCAGTCGTACAGACGGTCAATCTGAGAAAGAAACACATTAGTATTTAAATACTTGCAGCAATCATCAGTATGAGCATTCGGTAGTCAGTATCTGGTACCTTGTTAAGTGCTACTATGAAGGGGCATTTCTTCTCCTTCAGCAGGTTGATGGATTCGATCGTCTGTGGCTCTAAACCGTGCATGATATCCACCACCAGGATGGAGATGTCACACAGAGAACTACCCCTGTTCCTCAGATTACTGAAGGGTGGAGAAGAGTGCCATTAAACATACAAACGAGCTTAAAAAGATATGGGTTTTCTACAGTATCGACACATTTTAGAAACTTTATAACAGCAAGTTAACATTTAATATTAATTTCCATATAAAAACAAATAAACAACAATTAGCAATTTTTGCAATTGGTAAGATTTTTTAATAAGTCTCTTATGCTTAACCAAGGCTGCATTTATTTGATCAAAAATACAGTAAAATAGTAATATTCTGAAATATTACAATTTAAAATAACGTTTCAAACATTGTAAAACTATTATCAAAGTTAAAAACAAAAATTTCTAAAGCATTCATTTGAAATAGAAATCTTTTGTGGCATTGTAAATGTCTATAGTATCATTTTTAATCAATTTAATGGGTTCTTGCTGAATAAAAGTATTTTTTCTTTCGTTAAAAATGAAAAACTCACCCAAACCTTAAATGGTAGTGTATAAAATCTGTCTATTATTTTTATTTGGCACACAAAAATCAATAGCACAGTGTGTACCTGAAGGACTCGTGTCCAGGTGTGTCAATAATGAGCATGCCAGGAACCTTCACGTTCTCCTTGTCAAACTGATGCAAATACACAAACACGTGCCTTAATAAATCCCATGGAAAAACAGAATTAGAAAATGTGCATTACAGAAAGATACATACATTTTTCACCATCTTGGTTTGTTCTAATATGGTTTCCAGGGGCACATTAGTGGCTCCGATCTGCTGTGTGATCCCACCAGCCTCACTATCCTGAACATGTGTGTGTCTCAGCTGACAGACAGAGAAGAAGAAAACGATATTAAACACACAAAAACCACACAGGTGCTGAAGTCCACATCAGGCACTTTGAAACGCACCTTATCCAGGATTTTGGTCTTCCCTGTGTCTACATGACCCAGTACACAAACCACAGGAGATCGGAGCTTGCCAAAATTAATGTTCTTCAGGTTTTCCTGCCTTCGTTTCTGATCACAAAGAAAAACACGGTTGATTCCACTGTGTGTGCATAAATGCGTCCACTTTGTGTAGTGCAAAAGGCTGTATTGCGTACCTCTATGCGTCTCTTGGCCTTGTCATAAAGTCTCTCCTCTTTGCTTCGGTCATCGTCCGAATCGCTCTCGCTGCTTGACTCGGAGCTCGGCTCTTTTCCTGCTTTATTTGTGCTCATCTTGTTGCTGCGGTCTTTGTTGTCCTCCTCATCCTCACTCTCCTCTCCATCATTCTCCTCTTCATCTTCATCCTCCTCCTCTTCATCATCATCCTCTTCTTCCTCACTGCCGTTCTCTTGGTCTTCAGCAGGTTTTTGTGTTGCCAGAGTAGTTCCCTTCACCTCGATGTGAACCTTCTTCATCTCTGTGAATGCACAAACGTCAAATTAATCAGCACTCACAACAAACCACCACCAAATGACTTCATGATTTTAAAAGACATGTATCCGTGGGAAAGCATGCTTTACACCCACCTTTCTCCTCATCGCTAGCCATGGCCTCCCAATCGTCCAGATCAGCAGCCTCCGCTTTTGGCTCCTTAACTGTTGCAATGAAAATGTCAGCTATTATCCTTGTTTACAGCCACAAATCATGAACAGACAAATCCTTATCCATGATTAGCATGATTCACTTATTTACTTTTTTTGACAATAAGCCATTCAATTTGTAGGGCCCTATTATTTAGGTGATGCAGAATACGTGGCCAGAATTGTGGAATTCAGGAATTAAAATTGAATTTAGTGTATTGTGTGCAATGTCACAGAATAGGATAATTTTTGGATTAATAAATCAAAAGTAGAGCTAAGATTAAAATGAATCAAATTCAAATTGACATTAGTAATTAAACCGCAAATCAGCATGTCAAAAATTACAACAGATCGCCAAAATAAAAGTCTGACATCTTGAAATTATGATAGAAATATTACTATTGCACAGTAAATGAACTTCTATAAGTAGTAGCAATAGTAATAACAATAAAAATAAGCAACGCTTATTTTTAATATGTATTTACACACATACATTTTTGTTGTGCAGCATTGTATATGACAAACTAATGACTAAAGTTTCCTAATGGCTCAATTGTAATTACGATGTTAACATGGAGAGCCAGAAAAAAATAAATTGCATTTGAAAGGAACCTAAATTTGAGAAATTAAAGTAATTACCTTGCTCTGCTTCAGGTTTGTCCACTTTCATCTCTGTTGTGACTGGCTGAGGTGTCTCTGATGTGGGTGATGCCACTTCTGAAGTTTCTAATATAAGCCATGAAAATGTTAGGATGTCTTTAACCATCCTTGACAACCACAGGTAAATACACAGAGAAAGAAACAGGTATCGGATTAGTCGGGATCTAACCTTCAGGAGTTTGTGCTGTTGGCTTTTTTTTTCTCTTATCAGAGTAAACCGGCTTCTTCTTTGGCATTGCATCTTTGGATGGCACTTCAACACCTGAGAGGAAGCCAATGACACCATCAGCTCCAAAAATATTTACTACTTCTTTCATCAAAGCTGCTGGTAGTCATGTTCTCACCCTGAGCCTGCAGCACTCGCAGCGTGGCTTCTGCTCTGGCTCGAGCCTCTTTCTGGGCCTTGGTAAGGAGCTTTCCCTCCTTCTTTAGCCTTTCTTTTCTCTCCTTGTCCTTTTGTTTTTTCTTCTCTTTCCTCTCGGCCTCTAGACGCTCCTGTGGATGAAGGTTTCAGAGATGAAGGAACGATAACGGTTTTGACAACATAAGCTTGAATGCCTGAGTCTTTCACTGACCTGCTCCTGTCTCTGAGCCTCCAGCTCCTCCAGCCGTCGCTGTCTTTCCTCCTCTTCTCTTTTGGCTTGTTCCTCCTCCTCCTTCATTCTGGCCAGGGCCTCTTGCATTGCTTTCACTGTTGCTTTGCTGGGACCCTTTTTCTTGTCCTTTTCTTTCTCCTCCTTCTCACCTTTCTTCTTCTTCTTGTCCTTTTTCTTTTTGTCACCCTCAGCCTCCTCTGTAGAAAATCAGAGGATAGAGAAACATAAATTGAAGCGTAGGACTTTCTGATGTATTGAATATTCACAATCAAACTTAGTTTCTTATAGAGTGCGTTTGACTTTTAAAAAAAAAAAATTTTTTATCACCCCTTGCCTCACGACTTGCAACTATTAGAGCATTAAGACTTCAGTAACATAAATGGCATTACAATTGGTAAGTTTGAATAATTTCCATGAAACAGTTTATTCAAAATTCTGTGATTCAAACAATCATGCCAAATTATTTTTCCAAGGGCTAAAAAGAAAGGAATAAATATATACAAAATCGTGTCTGTGGGTTTGAATAAATGTTTTCCTTCATTTTAGAAAAATACATTAATACATAAATATCAAATATCAAGTATACACACGCACGCACACACACTACCATTCAAAAGTTTGGGGTCAGTAGGGTTCTTTAATGTTTTTAAAGCAGTCTCTTATGGTCAGGCTGCATTTATTTGATAAAAACAATTAATATTATGAAATATTGTTACTACTGTAATATATGTTAAAATGCAATTTATTCCTGTGATGCAAAGCTGAATTTTCAGCATCATTACTCCAGTCTTCAGTGTCACATGATCCTTCAGAAATCATTCTAATATGCTGATTTACTGCTCAAGAAACATTTATTATTAAAAATGTTGAAAACAGTTGTGTTGATCATATTTTAGTGAAAACAGTGATACATTTTTTTTCAGGATTCTTCGATTAATAGAAAATTCAGACAAACAGCATTTAGTTGAGATTTGAGAAATCTTTTGTTATAAAATGTCATTGCTTTCAGTTTTGATCATTTTAATGCATTCTTGTATAATAATAATAAAAAAAATCCCAAACTTTTAAACGGCAGTGTACATATACACATACATAAACATAATGTACTATGGACAATCTGACCTTCTCCCTGGACATCAGCTGCATCCTGCTCCACTGAAGCCTCTGCCTCTATTTCCTTGCTCTCTGCTGAAGGTGTGGTAGCAGGTTTCCCTGTCTCCTTCTTTAAGGCCTCCTCTTCTTTCTCTTTCTTAGCTCTCTGCTTGGCCTTCTCCTCCTCTTTCTTCTTCCTCTCCCTCTCTTTTTTCTCTGCTTTCTTCTGCGCAGCTGTCTTCACCTTGAAGGCCGATTCTTCTCCTTCGTCTTCCTCACTGTCTGGTTTGGCTTTACTTTTCTTCTTGCGTGCGGCTTGAGAATCATCGTCTGATTCATCATTGTCACCCGCTCCTTCACCCTTCTTCGCACCACCATCTTCATCGTCCTCCGAGTCAGATGCACCCTTTCGGCCACCTTTCTTTTTAGCCGTATGTTTCTGCCGTGACCGCGAGCCCTCATCCTCAGAGTCTGAAGCAGCAACAGCAGGAGCGGGAGCCGCCACCGTCTCTGTGTCTTTCGCCCTGCGCTCGTTTTCCATGTTGTTCTGACCCTGATCTTCATCACCTTCCTCATCCTCCAGATTTGCCTTTTTACCCTTCTTGGCTTTCTTCTTGTCCGCTTTACTCAGAGCGGGCTCAGGTTCAGCGTCCACTGCTGAATCGGATTTCTAAGACAGAAACACATGGAGAAATTGCTGTCAATGGCACATGACTCAGCTTGTAAAATCAGAAGAGAGAGCAAAACAAAAGACAATGCATGCTGAATGTGATTATCAGTTTGTGTTAATGAAGAATACCTTTTCCTCTTCTTTAGATTTTCCTCCTTGGTTTTCTAATGACAGTGTCTCCAGTTCTTTCTGGATGTCATCCTCACTGCAAGTAAAAAGTTCATCATTAATTCCCAAACACTAACATTCATGTTCAAAAGTTTAGGGTCAGTAAGATTAATTTAATTAATCAATAGTAGTGCTGCCAAACGATTAATCGCGATTAATCGCATCCAAAATAAAAGTTTTTGTGTACATAATATATGTGTGCACTGTGTATATTTATTATGTATATATAAATACACACACATGCATGTATATATTTCAGAAAAATGTTATTTTTTTATATATATTAAATAGATTTATAATATAAATTATATGAATATAAATATAGACATGTAAATACATGTACATATTTTTGAAGTATATACTGTATGTTTGTGTATTTATATATACATAATAAACATACACAGTATACACATATATTATGCAAACAAAAACTTATTTTGGATGCGATTAATCGTTTGACAGCACTAATCAATAGTTTTAGCCCACAAGGATGTATTAAACGTGGTGCTGTCAAACGATTCATCGCAATTAATCGCATCCAAAATAAAAGTCTTTGTTACAAAAACTTATTTTGGATGCGATTAATCGTTTGACAGCACTAATCAATAGTTTTAGCCCACAAGGATGTATTAAACGTGGTGCTGTCAAACGATTCATCGCAATTAATCGCATCCAAAATAAAAGTCTTTGTTTATATATACACATGCATGTGTGTGTATTTATATATACATAATAAATATACACAGTACACACACACATATATTATGTAAACAAAAACTTTTATTTTGGATGCGATTAATCATTTGACAGCACTAATTAAACTACTTAAAAGTGACAGTGAACACATTTATAATGTTACAAAAAACTCTATAAAAAGGCTGTCCTTTTGGACCTTTTATTCATTAAAGAATCCTGAGAAAAATGTGTCAGTTTCCACAAAAATATAGCTAAAGCAGCACAACTGCTTAAAACATTGATAATAATAAAAAATAATAATAAAGATTAAAAATCTTATTTTAAAAAAAATTTTATTAAAAAAAAAGATTAAAAATAATAATATTGACACCTTCAATACCACGACCGAGGTGCCCTTGAGCAAGGCACCGAACCCCCAACTACTCCCGGGCGCCGCAGCAAAAAAATGGGTGCTCACTGCTCCGGGTGTGTGTGCGCGCGTTCACTGCTGTATGTGTGCACTTTGGATGGGTAAATGCAGAGCACTAATTCAGAGTATGGGTCACCATACTTGGCCACATGTCACGTCACACTTAAAGAAATGTGTCTCGAGTAGCAAATCAGCATACTTAAATATTTCCTGTAGGATCATGCAACACTGGAGACTGGAGTAATGATGCTAAAAATTCAGCTTTGAATCACAGAGATAAATTACATTTTAAAATATATTACAGTATATTAAAAATTGTTATTTTGAGTAGTAACGATATTACTGTTTTTTTTCTGTATTTTTGATTAAATAATTTCAGCTTTGATGAGCATAAGAGACTTCTTTCAAAAACATTTTTAAAATCTTACCGACCCGATTTTTGAGCAGCACTGTATAGAAAGAGAAAATCTCTTTTAAGCTTATGAACTGTGTCAGTGTTGGAGGAAAGAGGTGAAGACCTACTCAAAGTCATCTTTCTTTCCTTTCTTTTTCTTGCTCTTTGATTTGCTCTGCTCCTTGCCTGCTCCTGCTCCTTCAATTTCAGCTGCAAGCGCGTCGATGTCAACTCCGTCGTCTTTGGCACTATGAAAAGCAGAAAAGAATACATTACATTTTTCACTACTGAACTTTTTTAAAAACGTATTTGCCATATTGCAATCACTACATTGAGCTATACTCATAAACTGGGCCATAAGTTTTTTTTTTTTACAGCATATGAATGAGAAACTTAAAATACGTTTTTCCATGTCTTTTAGATTTGATGTCATCTACATGCTAGTTGACTAAATTTTAATTACAAATGTCAAAATTACAGTTTGCCTCTTCCAGGACAATGCACTATAACAATGAGGACACCTCTTGCACCTCTTGCATATTTTAATACAAGAAAGATGTTCCTTCCTATCAAGTGATTTTACACGGTTTAATGGTGTACATTTACTATTTTCCACTTAAATAAAATTAGAAATGCTTTGAGTAGGGACTGCCCGATACTGCGCTCCTGTACTCGTACTCGTAAAAATGCCCCGATACCAAAAGCCGATACTACACAGCGTGTGAACAGAGCTGTGTCCAGAAAAAGAAACAATGACAACAGAACAACAGAGAGTACAATGGAGTTATTAGAGATCAAGGATGTCTATGAAGTACATGTAAGTAATTAATAATGTTAAACATTCGATATTCACGCCTGTATAGCGGATGTGCGCGAGCTGATAAGCAGAGCGTGCTGAGTGGATTGAGCGCGCGGCTGCACAGTTGCGCAAGCTTGTCGAGTGAATATCTCACAGACAACACTGGAAAGTTTGTAGTTCTGTCGGATATGTCAAAAGCAAGCAAGCAAAACAGTGCACAAGTTACTAAAGTTATTTGACGGGAAGGAGAGCGAAAGAGAGAGTCAGAGAGCGCGCACTTCTGTTGCATGATCTTGATTGCTGTTCGCTCCATTAGCGCATGCATTTGGATTAAAACTAAATCGTAAATATAAAAAATGATAGGGGCATTCACTATAAACAACATTTATTTTAAACATCAAGCATATACGATTAATGCAAAAGTGAAACTAGCAGACTGTGTGAAATACGCTAGGCTATAAGTGTCTCTCCCATTCTGCACCAATGCAAACATGTGCGCGCTGCGCATGGTTAGCTTGCTTTAAAATTATGTTTTTTATTCATACACGAGGGTCTGCGTACAGTGTGCGTGGACGCAAATTACGTCTCCAAAATAGTACGCGCGTACTCGTATAATGTATAACGAGTGGTTCTTTGCATTATTTTAGGAAAAAGTTTTATGATTACAGTATTGAGCTGCTGCAATGGAGCAGCTCTAATGCGCCATTAAAATGAACAGTGAAAGTAACAAACGCTTATACAATAAATTTTAACGGGTATAATTAAGTGTGGAAATAACTGAAAGAAATATCTGTTTGCTAAATGAAGCCAACTAACATGATGATTCTTATTATTTTGTCTCTGTACCCAATATTTGTAAAAAATGACAAATGCTGTGAAAATACAGGTATCGCTATTGACGAGTACCAAAAAAAATGACAGTATCGGTAACGGACTCGTTCTAAAAAAAAGTGGTATCGGTGCATCCCTAGCTTTGAGAAAGCAAATACAAATGTACTCAAAAAATAAATAAATAAATTTGATGAAATCTGCTTAACATACAGGTGCATCTCAATAAATTAGAATGTCGTGGAAAAGTTCATTTCAGTAATTCAACTCAAATTGTGAAACTCGTGTATTAAATAAATTCAATGCACACAGACTGAAGTAGTTTAAGTCTTTGGTTCTTTTAATTGTGATGATTTTGGCTCACATTTAACAAAAACCCACCAATTCACTATCTCAACAACTTAGAATATGGTGACATGCCAATCAGCTCATCAACTCAAAACACCTGCAAAGGTTTCCTGAGCCTTCAAAATGGTCTCTCAGTTTGGTTCACTAGGCTGCACAATCATGGGGAAGACTGCTGATCTAATAGTTGTCCAGAAGACAATCATTGACACCCTTCACAAGGAGGGTAAGCCACAAACATTCATTATGCTTCCTTCTGCTGACCAGCTTTTTGAAGATGCTGATTTCATTTTCAAGCAGGATTTGGCACCTGCACACACTGCCAAAAGCACCAAAAGTTGGTTAAATGACCATGGTGTTGGTGTGTTTGACTGGCCAGCAAACTCACCAGACCTGAACCCCATAGAGAATCTATGGGGTATTGTCAAGAGGAAAATGAGAAACAAGAGACCAAAAAATGCATATGAGCTGAAGGCTAATGTCAAATGGCGCTTTTACACTGCGTGGTATGACTCGGCACGGCTCAGTACGGTACGGCACGGTTCAGCTTGGCACGGTTTGCGTTTCCACTGCAGTTCAGTACCACTTTAGAGTGGGCGGAATTATTCACATGTCGTTATAGTTGCGCCTCCTCTACTACCACGACTCCTACCTGAAATAAATGAACTTTTCCACGACATTCTAATTTATTGAGATGCACCTGTACATGTGCAGTGCAGTAAAAAATTCACCTGAGAAAACGCAGACCACCAGAAATGATTAACTAAGCAACCGGCCAGGAAAACACTCACCTGTTACCAGAGATTTAGAAACAACAACAGGATGTCCAGACCATTACTGACTAATCGTGACATTTTCAGTAAAAGGACTTCCATTATACACTAGTGGTGTAAGATAATACATTTTTATTACAAACTAGCAAAAAAAACAGCATTACACCAACAGCACAGATGCATATTACACACCTGAACACCACTCTAGACAACCAGTGAAAGCACACAGCAATATTTGCAACAATACATACACAAAAACTGATCATATTAAACACCTGAACTCAAATACCTTATCGATCAAGTCAAACACAGCAATGATGAGGAAGTAAACTTGTGCTGCTTATATAGTGGAGCCTAAAGCCCTCATTACATGCTTGTTGCATCAGAAAGGGAAAATCACAGTCATAGCGGGGCAGATCTCTCACACACATAAACCTGCTGCCCTCAGCAAACACAGAGCAGATGATGAAACTCCAGTTAATGGAAAGATGGGCAAATGACTTGAATGAATGGAGAAGAGATGGAGGCATGTTTAATCAAAGTTAAAATATGTTTTAGCAGACTACAGTTCTTTGACGCAATGCAAAGGGCAGCAACGGTCTTTAAGTAACAGGTAATCTTGTTTTGATGCTACTCTCGATAATTAATGGCTGGATCGCATGACATCTTTTGAGATTACTGGAACAGGAAATGACATGGCAACCAGCACTTAAGGGTTAGCACAGGTTAACACTCTCATTAAGATGGTAAGCAACTTAACCACCTCCCACAAGGCCAAAAGACCAAGAATCTGCTCAGCATCAGACCCAGACAAATTTAGCTATTCAAGCGACTGAGTTCAGAGAGGGAAAGGAAAACAGGTCAAACCAGGTGAAACTGCTGCTGTCCCACATTGGCCAGTATTACAGCAAAACCTTAAATTCAACCTAATAAACTAAAAACAAACCAAGGCTTGCAGAAGAAAATTTCTTTAACTAAACGACTGGAACATAAAAGCAGACAATCAATCACTTTCAAGGTACAGATTTTATATAATAATTATAATTATGTTTTGAATAACAATCCAATCTGAAGCAGATAAAAAAACAAGGGAAAAATGATTCACCAAAATCACTATGCCAAGTTTTTTTAAGTATTTATATATGGATAATATATATATGTACATACACACACATACATGTACAATATATATGATATATAATATATATATCATATATATTGTACATGTATGTGTGTGTATGTACATATATATACATACACACACATACATGTACAATATATATGATATATAATATATATATCATATATATTGTACATGTATGTGTGTGTATGTACATATATATACATACACACACATACATGTACAATATATATGATATATAATATATATATGTGTGTGTGTGTGTATGTATATATACAAAGAGACTAGCAAGAGATCCATTACTTATATCATCAATGAAACGTTAATAACTAACCTAATTCCAGCCAAATATACTATATAAATTTACAAAATGCATGTAGTATCTCACAGACAAGTACATTTTTGAAATTCCAACAACCCTGACAGAATACACACACACACACAGTACACCTGAAAATTATAAATACAACCTGGATTAGAGTTGCAAAGGGGTGGAACATTTCCAGAAACTTTTCAAAAAATCCCTGGAAGATTAAAAAAAAAATCCTGAAATGTTTCCCAAATTTACTGGAAATGTTCCACCTTTTTGCAACCCTAACCTGGATTGAATTAATAATCATAAGCCCTCAATATTGTCCAAGTTTGACAGGTACGGTCCAATTTATCATTTAACAATTACATCCCTTGATCTCAATGGGACAGTTCACCCTGCCCAACTCAGCTGGTGACCGACTGCCACAGTCCTGGAAGAATTTGAACATTTTCACAAGCCGAGATTTCTGCCTCTCACCGTTTCTACATGACCAAAGGTCGATGGCATCCCACAGAAGAGCGTTTCACTGAAGACAATGCGCCGAGCAGCACAATGGAAACGGATGAGGTAGCACTGCCAGGCGAGAAATCAGATACCGCGTGTAATACACAAAAGCCACTGCCCTTAAAAACAGTCTTCTGTGCTCGGACAGCGTCTGATATCAGAGCAGATGTGAAGTACAACTAATCTAACACTAACAGCTGCTGGATCAAGACCAGCTGTTTCTCATTTTAAAGCCACCAATGTGACAAATACGCAACGCTCACAATAAATTACCCAGTCAGCTGGTGTCTAAACGTGCATCTTTACATGCCAGTGATCCCCTGATGATATTGCTCTGGTTAAACGGTCAGTAGTACCACAATGAGGAAGACAGGCCTAGTTACAGCGGCACATGAACTCATGTCCATCAGAAGCTAGCCAGGTGGCTAACAGTGTGTCTCCTCACACACTAACCTGTCAAGATTATAAACAGCACGGTCTTTCTGCTGTTAACAGAGTCCGTGTTGCGCATTCCCCAGTGTCCTAACTTACCCATCATCTCCCTTATTTTTCTGTTTCTTCCCCATTATGTCTGTATGGCTGTAACCTCCTCGTTGCGGTGCCGTGTAGTCGGTGTTAGCGCTTCAAGTTAGTCGTGCTCGCATTGCGCATGCGCACTTGACAATGAGTAATAGCGCACCGCGGCCTCAGCGCAGACCTTTAGCGCACATGGATAGTCTACTCTATACAGTTAGTTACATGTAAAGAGAAAGAATCCCGATTAAATGCCATTTCGGGATGTTTGCGTGAAATATAATATCGTTCCTATTGCTTCGTTTTAAATAAACCGCACAAACAACAAAGAAAGAGCATATATTTCTTACAAACATGAAATAGGCCATCCACATTAAACACTAGTCCGTGTTAAACTGCGCTTTTACGTCAGGAAGAGCGCGACAAGAGCGCTGCGCATAGCAAACGCGTCACCAGCTAAAAACCATACAATTCATATTTTAAATAAATTTGTACACACACATACAAGTATGTATATAATAATTTACATATGTGACCCTGGACCACAAAACCAGCCTAAGGGTCAAATTTTTTTTAATGGAGATTTATACATCTTCTGAAAGCTGAATAAATAAGCTTTCCATTGACGTATGTTTGTTAGGACAAATATAGGACAATATATAATATGAGATATAACTATTTGAAAATCTGGAATCTGAGGGTGCAAAAAAATCTAAATATTGAGAAAATCACCTTTAAAGTTGTCCAAATGAAGTCCTTAGCAATGCATATTACTAATCATATAAAAATAAAAAATATAAGCTTTGCTATATTTACAGTAGGTCATTGACAAAATATCTTCATGGAACATGATCTTTACTTAATATCCTAATGATTTTTGGCATAAAAGAAAAATCTATCATTTTGACCCATACAATGTATTGTTGGCCATTTCTACAAATATACAGGGGTCACATATTCAATCAAGAGTGAAAAATTTAAGGGGGTCTGAATACTTTCCGTACCCACTGTATATCAATGTTGAGGGATATTATATATTAATATAATATTGTTAATAATATAACACAATGTGTTTACATTGTGTTCCAAATGATTATGCAAATGACATATCAATAGGATTCAGGTACAATAAAGTGTCAGATTTTGTTTGTGTTGTTTTTCAAATCTTTTTAGATATATTTTAGGTATCAATCTCAGACAGGTTTGTTCAATAGCTTGCCAGGTCTTCTTAGGTAAATGGAAACCCTACTTAAAGGGGTCATATGATGCAATTTCAATTTTTCCTTTCTCTTTGGAGTGTTACAAGCTCTTTAGTTGCAAAGACTAAAGTCTCAAATCCAAAGAGATATTCTTTATAAAAGTTAAGAGTCAACCACGCTTACCTAAAACGGCTCGTTCTAACACGCCCCCACATGTCTACGTCACGATGTGGGAAGATTTGCATGACGCTGTGTGTTTCGTTGTGAAAGCGAAACTACTTTGTTTGGTCTTCCAAAAGAGGACACAACTAGAAATCAGTGGTTAAGTTGTATTTACAACACTGTTCCAGAACACTTCAACCCAAATATCCAGATGTGTGCAGCACAAGGATTTGCCACTGACGATTCAAATGTGAGTTTTGAGCAGTGAGTAGCGCTTGTTGTTTGTCGTTTCTCCAGACATGGTTTTATGTTTACGCAGCGCGATACGCAACCCAACGCATAAAAAGACAGTATAAGTCATTATAATCAGTAATTATGTCCCCACTGGATACAACAAATGCCTCATTTGTAATGAGTTTTATTGTTTTTGTCTTGTCATACCGAGACACAGGGCATCACAGTATGGTAAGGGGCGTAACATTTCTGTCACACGCTTGAGGTATCCGGCCAATCACAACGCTGACCGATGAGCTTTGTAAAAATCGAAGCGTTTCAGAAAGGCGGGGCATAGAGGAGCAACAATAATGTACATTATGTGGAAAATAATGGGGGTTTTTTTACCTTAAATCGCATAAACACATTGCATTACACCAAATACACAACATAATGTACGTTGCAACGTCATATGACCCCTTTAAAGAGGTTGTTCCACATTATTAAGCAAGTCACAGTTCTCATGCAATATGGTAAGGAAGAAAGATCTTTCTGAAGATGAAAAATATGAAACAATGCAATGTCTTGCAAAAGGCATCAAAACAAACAATATTTTGCAAATAGAAATTAGTGTTGAAGCTACTGGAGTCTCAAGATCCTCTCCATGCAGACTGGCAGTTGTGTGTAAAGCTGCTTCAAATTGTTTTTCAAATTTTCAAACTGTTTAGCACCATGGTATTTATGCAAAACAATATTTTTATAATTTAATTTATCATGCATATAATCTTTATTCATATATTATTGCTCTATTAATATTTGCAAGCATTTAATGGTTTAAATGAATTAGATGTGAATTATGTCTACAGTAATGTCTGCCCAATGCTTACATTTTCAAAGTATTTCAACAGTTTCATCATAGAATTGGTAGCGTTATTTGTGTTTTTCATATCAAATCTCTGTAAACTGTGACTGTGCAGGAGGCCACTTTAAAGATTTTGAAATTACGTATCACATAATGTTCATTTCTGACTTCATTTTTATTCACATCACTGAAACCACACCAGCACACAATCTATGAATCTTCACAGCAACATCTGCAGTCATTGAAACGGTTCTCATGAATGCCGCCACCAGCACTGCGGTTTCATTCGGACAGTATTTGCTGCCATTCAGAGTTGATGTAAACTCATTCACCATCTCTGAAGGAAGCCAGTTTTCCGGGATTTCCATAGCACATTGTTCTACAGCACCATTTTTGATGTCCATATCAAGCTTTATAGTCACATCCTCCACCACTATAGAAGAGCAAACACTGAATTTTGGAGTTCTGCCATAAATCCACTCCCACGTCTGCAGATCCTGTGCCATCTTATGAATGCCAGGCATGAGACCTTCATGAGTGGGGTCCACTTTGATGACTGGGCTGTCAAATCCAAATTCATTACTGTACTGGGAAGCAATAGCATCCATGATAGTGTTCGAGTCAAGAGTGGGATCCACATCCAAAAGGTTCTTGACAGGGGAAGGAACGCTTGGGGTAGCGCTGCTTTTGATAACTTCAGAAGTGTTACTCTTCAGGACTGAGGGCAATATTGAACGGTCAACAGAACACAATAATGTACAGTGGTGATAAGCAGAGGTTCTGCCTAATTTCGCAGCAGTGCCTGATATTTTGTAATGGCCATTTAACAAAATATCAAATCTGTCTGACGCTGCGACATCTAGATCGGGTCTCAGTGCTTTTAATGCTCTAGTAACGACTTTGAGGTTTCTGTGACGGTCGTATTTCTTCTTGGAGGTGAAGAAGGTCATGTTGATGTTTCCAAAATCATGGAAAACCGTTCCACCTCCACTGCGACGCCTCGCTAGCGGGATCCCCAAGCGTCTCATCAAGGGCAGGTTACACTCCTGCCAGGGGTTTTGATGCCTTCCTATGACAACCACGGGTGAATTTCTCCATAATAACAGCATGCTTCTGTTTTGCAGATCGACGCGATCGTGAATCCAGTCTTCTAAGGCCAGGTTCTCAAATATGCCAGTTGACGCAGATTTTAGGACGATACCAGCTTTTCCCATCTCATCGAAGAAGGTTGACAAAGTGCTTTTGAGGCGAGCTGATCCAGAGAGGACGCATGCCCTGTTTGACAGTCTCAAAATCATCGCTGACTTTTCATTTCTCCAAAAGTCTGTAAGGCACGAATAAACCACAGATGATTAATTTCTGCGGCGTGTAGCGAAAACGTTTGGCCAATAATGCACATGGAATACGGATCTGCACTGTTTTTCTCACGCCTGCAGCAGCGAAACATCCGGGTCTTCTTCTTCTTCTTCTTTGACGTTTTATGGCGGTTGGCAAACCAGCTTTAGGTGCATTTACCGCCACCTACTAGGATGGAGTGTGGAGCAATGACGTTAAAGGAAAACTAAAAAAAATTTAAAAATTTGTAGTGATTCTTTAAATCCTGTTTATTAACTCTGTATCTTTGAGATACTTAAATAATATGTGAAACATTTCTATAGTCACATCTTTATTTAACAATTTCTGAAGTGAGATCTGAGTTATTTCTATATGAAGTCCTTCTGTCAGTTGTACTCTTTCGTTGTCATATCCTTTACATTTTATTAAAATATGTTCAACTGTTTCAGGAAGATCACATTTACCACAAAGTCCAGACTCATGTTTTCCTATTATAAATAATGATTGATTAAGTGCAGTGTGGGAACATCCGGGTCGACAGGAACCGTTCTTCTTCTTGAAATTTTATTTGCGGTTGACAAACAACAAAATGGAGTATTTCCGCCACCAACTGGAATGGAATGTGGATCAAAAATGTACTTCCTTCCCAATCCCCCC